ATTTATTCATTATAAGCATTATGCAGGCATGTAGTTTTCTACGACAGAAACTGGTTTTTCAACCTCTGCCTTGTCTTTTTATATGAGAATACAATAGAATCATTTGAATTGTGATTACTTTTTTAAATAAATCCTGCAGCTGGGATTGAATTTCGCACCACAGTTCAACCTTGAAAGGAACATAAATCTGAAACCAATACAAAAAGTGCACAATTTTCCATATTCAGGTTAATGTTTAGCAACAGAAAAGAATAACTTTTGTTTATCTCTGAAAACAGCTTTCTTCATCTAAACAAATGACTAGACTAAGATTGAGAAAAACCTGTTTGGGTTTCTTAGATACACACACATATTCCAATTTCCTTTTGCACAATGACTTTTATGCAAATGTGCACCACACAATCTCCTAGCCTCTTTTACCATCACCCAGGGACAATGACAGTTCCATAATTGAAATGGTACATATCTGGTATGTTTGATTTTAAATTGCAAAGTTGGACTCGGGGCCTATTGAAATGAAAATCCTTGTGGTTCTTTGTTAATTCCAAACGGATCAGGTTATTATTTCCTACTAGTAAAAACAACAACATAAAAAAAAACAGCAAAAAACCCCAAAATGTAGGTGAAGATCATTATTCCATTTTTTATTTCCTTGCCACATACTTTTCCCAACCTGGCTCCTTGCAGTCTCTTCTGTGACCCTCCCCCACCCCTTTGATTTTAGTTCTTAACCTGGATTCTTTCATCCACAACATGGGTAATGAGAAAACTCCAACAACCATTCCTTGGGGGAACGTTACACTGAAAGTTACCTAGGACTAAATCCCACATGTGTTCATTTGCTCACCGTGGAGATGAGAGATTTCTTCACTGCTCTCAGCCAATTTGAAATCCAAATATGAAAGCAGCATCATGGAATTCAGACAAACTAGCCTGCTTCACCACTTGCGGATGTGGGAAGGAAAACTGCTGGGCCCATTAAGCTCTTGACTTTGAACCAGCAACGTTGTGAACACCTCCCTTAAAAAAATCCATGTAACATTCCAGGAGAAGGGTGCGGACAGACTCTTTTCATGTCCTGCATAGAATGGTGGTAGACCCATCAGCTGGCTAGGAACATCGCGCCCACTCTGAGCCAAAGAAAAGCTGAACGGTAAATCTGCAATGTCGCCAGGGTCTTACGCGTTCTTTCTCAGTTTGAGTGTCTAGTGCTAAGTGGTTTTGATTATATCGTTTTACTGGGCTCTTTAGAAAAAGTTTGGGATCATTTAAGGGGCAGACGAAATTGCAATGCATGTTTTTGTAATGAGGGCTGGAAGTAAAGGGACTCCTTTAAAACATTTTCCGGTTTGTTCATGAGTCCATGACTCATCCTACAAATATTTATCGAGGCCTCATTATGTGAAGAGGACAAAAAAAATGTGTAGGGATGCAAAGGTGTGAACTTAGGAGAACATGATCAAATCTAATAAAGCGGTTAGCTGAGAAACACTGTTTTTTTGCATTAGGTATAGAGATGGACGTGACTATGGCTATGGATAAAGATATAGATACACACACACACACACACACACACACACACACACACTTCATCTTGCAATACTGCAGCTCTCTATGCACTTGGTGTTAACCTCACTTTAAATACACTGTCCTAGTTAAAAGAGAAGATGAAGGGCATGTTACAGTTTCATTTTAGTGTTTTGATTTCCTCGACCAGTTTTGCTTCATCATGAAAATTTCCGGGGGAAAATCAAAATGCAACAGTGCTGAGCCCTTCAGAGACTTTTGCTTGAAGAAACAAGTAAGATTTTCTTCACCAAAGTCCTTGTTAAAGAAAGTCTAAGGAAAATAATACTGCCAAAAAAATGAATACAGCTTTGCTTGTTTTCGCAGTCATCATTACCAATAGGACATAAAGATATTCTTTTTTTTTTTTCAGTCCATATGGAAAGATCATCAACACATTTTGCCTCTGGGTTCTTTGCCAAAATACCATAACCCACAAGCCTTCTACCTTAAACATAAAAGGAAAGGTGTTGTTCTGGTCAAATAAAGAAATAATTTTTACTAGCATACGTCTAATGTTAAAGCTGCCTAAATCCTGCCAAATACATTAAAACAACATCTGTAAAACAGATTTTCATTAAAGTGATCAGTTTAAAGTTAAGCAGCTAGGCAGATGATGCTTTTAAGCTCACCCTTAACCTTTAACCTTTGACCCCCTTACACTGGAATGAGGACACAGGCTTCTTTTAGGTAAGTAGTGCAAGAGGTGAAGTGGCCTATTCAAGTCGCAGTGACACATCACCACATTCAAAGTGTTGTGAATCGATATGTTGTCAATAACAAGAAAAGCTGACTTCTCCCAGCTCTGCGCTTGTCTTATAACTGCTACTTGTCACTTTCCCTTCCAGTCTGAATAACTCCTGGTGCAAAATGATGTAAATTAAGCTCTTAATGAAAATGAATTTTATATAGGGAGATTATTGTCTAGTCATTAACTCAGAAACTATTTTAAGTCTAATTTGAATACTGTAGCCACATTACAAGCCATCATTTTTTCCAGGCCCTGGCCAATCTGTTAGGTTCTCATTTAAAAGCAATTAATGCTACTTATGAAGCAATTTTAGTTTGCCGACACAAGCCAACCAAGCTTGCTAATATCCTTGTGACTGCAGTTGAAAATCCTGTTTAGCTGACTCACACCGTTTCTGTAAATCAATTTAGAAATGGCGTCCTCAACTCATCGCTATTCTGGAGAACTTCTGTAGTTACTACCAAAATAAAGAAAGCTCCTTGAAGGATAATGCAAAATAGCATAGCTCGATGGCCCGACACCAAGTTGCAATAGCGCAAATATTACTCTCTCCAACCTTCTTTTAATTCAAGGTAAGTTTGTTCAAAGGATGCTTTTGTTTGTTTGCTGACCATTCTCAGACACTATACTACGAGGACACTTGGGTATTTAAGAGATGAGCAAAACAAGTTGGGGCAAAGAAAAATTTCATATGACATAACATTTTTAAGGTCAGCGCACATACATATCCTTTGGTTCTGGGATCTAAAACTCACTCTGCTTTACAGCTTGCTTTATGCACAAGGCTTTATCTCATTTGGTTGTTATACATTCAAAGGCAATGGCCAACTGTCCCCGAGACTGAACTTCCAGAGTAACTCCGGCGCCCAGCAAATTGTTCTGCAGGCAATGAGGGTGGTCAATCCATACTCACTGAATGAATGGGTAAACTGAATACCCACGCAGAGACGCACACGTTTAAATAGTCACCCAACAATTGCCGGTAAGTAACCTTTCCTGAGAAAATAAACATCAACGCTCTACCTTCCTTTAGTTTCCCACATGAGATTAATAAAACAGAAAAATTTGTACATTTGTATTGTCTACTCACAACGTGTTAATTTAAAGTGTTAAAGGAGCTGCATGAATATAAACACAGTTCATGAATATTCTATACAGCTCCCAGGGTCGAGATCTATTATTTATACAAACTTAACGTTTGGTTTTTTTTCTCCTAAGTATTCTAAAAGTCTTAATAGGTCAGGTATCAACCGAAAAAAAAAATAAGTTGACGACTGAACAGTTATCAAACAGTTGCTGTAAAACCTATGAATTATAATACAATTAATGCGTTATATTATACTTTCAATACCGTCAACCTAGAAGCTTTCCATCTTACATTAGGGCCTGAACTCCCCTCAAACTGTGTAACCCAAATCTTAATGCTTTCATTATTGATCCAGAGTGCCAATACCACAGGAACAATGTTACAAATTCTCACACCACGTCTTTAGGTTTTTATGCTCAGTACATCAATCTAGAACTTGAACTTCAAGAAACAAAAAATAGTGCCAGGCCAACCCAAATAAATCAGTCCTGCACGTGCTCTCAATAGCCACAATCTGCTCTTCTTATCGTGTGTTTATAGTCTGAAACAGTATTAGAAAAGCCATAGGTATTATAATCGCTGGTTTGACTCCTCCTAGTATAGTTATCACTGATTTCTAGTATAAATCAATAGATAACACTTGCAAAATGGATTTTGTAATCATATTTGGAGCTTGTTACAATGACTAATGGTTTGCAATAGTTTCTGAATTTTAATACCCTCTGCACAAAAGAAGTTTTAATAAGTTACCAAGTTATTCATCACAGAAATGAATCTGTTACATGTGCACATGAACCAAGACAATCAAGCCCATCCAGGAAACAAACTGCAGCAAATAAATTAACCAGTAATGCGGGTTTAGAAAAAGTCAAGACAAGTTGTGGAATAAAGTGTGCTCATCACTAGCAGGTTTTTCATAAATCTGCATCGTTTTTTCCCCCAGCAAAGATAAAAGCATAGTTGGCATTTAATGAACATTTTTATCTGTACCACGCTCATGGGAGGTGGGGGGGGGGGACAAAAACATTATTAGCAGTGAAAAGTCATGCAAAAGAACAACAGAGTTAAGAAGACGACTTTCAACTGATGCTAAGGGAGAGTGTTGACTCAATGCTACTAGGATCCTAAAAAAAAGCAAAAACACACCCATCTGTTTGCATGGACCTTGTTTGTCACCAAACAAAAGATGATGCGTTCACGAGGTTGACTGCTCTCTGTAACCACTGACACTTATGCAAGAGGGATACTATGTTATTTTTTAATCAGTTACTAACAGGGGTTTTAAAGTATTGTGTTATATATGAAAATACTCAGAAAAGTTATTTTTTGGGAGGGAAACCAGTAAAGCAAACGACGCCACTGAGAAAGATGTAAAAGGACCAGGTCGCAAAATCTTTCAAATAAGCTCTCCAGCTCCCTAGACATTGCCACACATGTTTAAGAACGTGAAGCAGAAACCGTGCACCTCGCCCTTCTATTTCCCCGCCCCCCCCCCACCTCTTTTTCTCTGAGCTTGCAGATCTGTGCTCCAAGCTCTGAAACAGTTAATTCCCTTCTCTCCTCTGTGCCAAGGGAAACGAGAATGTCCCCGCTTACCTTGTAGAGCTTCAGGGCCACCTCGTGCCTGTGATTGGTGGTGTGCAGGCGTAACTTATCCACACTGTTGGTGTAATAGTCACAGGCGTTGCATTTCAGGTGGACGGGGTTGCCAATGGCAATGCACTTGAGTCTCCACTCATTGCTTTTGCCCCCTTCTTTAATGTGGGCCACCAGTTGGTATTTCTGCATATGTTTATCAGTCTTGCAGTGGAGCTGGAAGTTGGCTTTGAGCTGGGTGTTGTAGTTACAGAGCTTGCACTGGTAGATATCTCCAATTACAGCCCTCCATTCCTCTTCAGGGAGAGAGCGCTCGCTGGTCACATGCACGCTTAGGGCCTCCAGGCTGTCAGAGGTGAATTTGTTGCAAACGGCACACTGGAATAGCTTCAGCGCTGGGTCACTGATATAAGGTGACAGCTCTCCTGCAGTAAGGAGGGACAGGTCATCACCCATTAGCTGACCACTGGCAAGCCGGATTTCAGGCGGCAGCTCATTATTTACTACAGGAAGAAAAAAATTAAAAGGAAAACTAGAGACTCGAAAACACAGCACACACAAAGGAAATCTGTAAACTAAAGTCGACCAGGAATGGGCTTTCTCTAGAGCTTAAACTATAAAAAGCTGTAATAGGATTGAATCAGGATCAATTACAATCATCCTTTCAACTTCTCAATTCCCTCATCAGATAGCTTTAATTACTCCTACTGGGCATGATGTCACTCTGAAATTTGTATTTTCCAGGGTGAGGGAGTTGATCGATACCATAACAAAACAGTCACATGCTTGCGATTTCAAAGCCCAGATAAACTTACATAAGCGCTAATTGTTATTTCACAATTTGTCTGAAAGCGTGATGAGATCTGGCTAGCACTGCGCGTGCCTGTAAGCTACTGCCAAGTACCTGGGCTTAAGGTAACAGTGTTACTGTCCGTAGTTCAAATATCTCCAGTCACAGACATGCAAATCGTTTTTCAAAAACGGTTTCATTAAAAAATAAACGGTCTACCCTTTAGAAGCTCAAGTTTGGTATTTTAGGGAACGCCTGCCAAAATCGAAACTATAAACCTTGCAAGGTATGGCTTAAGGGTTGCAGGCACCTCAGGCACATTAGCGTCTGTTCATCAAACTACCGAAAGAAGGTGCAACGTTAGCTCACTCTGAGGCGGCCCGTGGGTCCCTCCCTTCACGCCTTCCTCTACGAAGCTAATTCAAGGCTGAAGTAAAGAACACGTGGCGTGACTGATTCTCCAGCTTAAAGAGGAAGTCGCTGCCGGTACACTGTCCCCAGTGTGTTGGCGCTCACCACTTCGTCTGTGTGCATGGCGCCCAACCCAAATGCGATCAAGAGACGCACACGCGGGTGCAGAAAAGCAGCGAATACTAACCAAGTCCCGGGGCCAGCGCGGCCGCAGTGGCAGGGTCCAGCTGGAAGGGGTTGATCATCAGCTGCGGGTCTGCAGGGTTTTCCAGCTTCATGCCGGTCAGGCCTATGTTCTGGGCCAGGTAATACTGGTAGAGCTCCGCCTCCGCCGGGGCCAGGCCCAAGTGCAGGTTATGCTGGATCTGCTTCATGTTCTGCTGCAGAAGCATCATATTGTGCATGTGCTTTTCGCTCGTCATGTGGATGCGGAGGTTCCTCGCCACGTTGGTTTCGTAATCGCACACCTCACACCGCCAGGTGGGCTTCTGCTTGGGTTTGGACGGCGAGGGCGTGCCGCAGCCGCCGAGGCTGGGGTTGGGGGCGGGGGCGGAGTGGCCAAACACCTGCTCGCCGCTGCCGTTCTGCAGGTTCTGCACGTTGTTCAGGTGCTTGTCGGACTGCATATGAATACTGAGGTTGCCTTTGGTCGTGGTGGAGTAGTTACAAACCTCGCAACGGAAGGGTTTATAGCCACACGTGTAGCTCTCCCCCCGGGCGAGCCTGGGGTGAGGCTGTCCAGTCTTACAATACACGCAGGAGCCACCCGGCTCCGGGTGCTTCTCCTTCATGTGGGCCTCCAGGGTCTGCTGGTACTTGTAGTGCCAGTTGCATTTGGGACACTTGAGGGTCTTGCAGGAGTTCCTTGAGTGCATCATGGTCATATGCCCACCCAGGGACCTCGAAGACCCCAACACCGTGTCGCACTTGGGACACTCGATGCCGCTGCCCGGGGAGCCGTCTCCGGCCGGCCCGGGGGTGCCGGGGGCGCTCGGGGCGAAGCCGTGCTGGTGCGGGGGCGCCGCGCCGTCCTCGTCGGCCCGGCCCGCGTCGCTGGGGTGAGCGGCCGCGACGCCGTCCTTGCTGGGGGCACCCGCGTCGGCCAAGTCCCTGCCGCCGAGGCCGTAGGCGTTGTTCGCCAGGCTGCCCGCGGCCCGGACGGTGCCAGCCTGCTGCTGCTTCTTCTGCTCCGCGTCGTCGGACCCCGTCGCCGAGGAGGAGGAGGACGACGACGGGGGACCCTTTTCCATAAATTTTAGCACACTGGATGATAAAGGAGAAATGCTTTGGTTTAAGCGAGGGAAGTCCTTGCTCCCGAGGCCCTCGGCGAGCTCACCTGATCCTTCCTCGTCGTCCGGCTCGTTGGAGTACGCGTCCTCGTCGTCCTCGTCTCCCGCGTCGGGGGGCTCGCTTTTGACGGCGCGCGCCCCGTCGGGGCGCGGGGCGCTGCCGTCCGGGGGCCTTTCACAGTTGTCCTCTTGGTCTTTGCTCTCCGACGTCTTGCCCGACTCGGACGACGCGTGGCCGAGGGGGACAGAGGTAATCGGGGTGTTCACTACTAAACTAGACAGCCCCCCCAGGGTCACGTCAGCCTTTGGCATCGGGGCGACCCCCAGCGGCTGCTCGGCGGGGCTCGCGGTCCCCGCGCCGCCCTTCAGGAAGGCGAAGCCCGCCGGCAGCGCGTCGCCGTTTTCCACGTGAAACGCGCTCCACAAGCCGCGGAAGGTGGGGTCGGGGCCTATGAGGTTTGCGGTAGAAAAGTGGGGGTACACAGAAGTGGGCTTTTTTGGTTCCAGAAAGCTGATGAGAGGCTCCTTGTCTTTGCCGATGCCCTGGATGATGGCCGAGACGCACTTGTGGCCGAGCAGCTTCTGCTCCTCGTCGTTCAGGGTCATCCGGTGGTCGTGCACCGCGTGCGCCACGAAGGAGCGGGCGTAGCCGAAGGACAGCTTGCACAGGAAGCACATGAGCACGGGCTTCCGCCTGCCGTCGCTCACGCAGCCGTCGAAGCGCGACAGGTCCACGTCGCCCGGCACGTCTTTGGACACGCAGGAGTTTTTGGCGGAGCCGTCGCTGGCGAGGTAGTCCCGCTCGCGCTTGTGCCGGAGGTCGTAGACGCGGAAGCTGTGCAACACAGGCCCGGCGCCTGCGAACGCTGAGGTATTTGGGAAGGCCGGGTCGGCCGCCAGCGGCCCCCCGAGGGGCGAGGCGATGTGGAACGTGTTGATGACCTGCGGGTAGAAGGACACGGGCGCCGGCGCGGCCGACGGCTCGCCCGCGTCCGCGGCGGGGGCCAGGGCGTCCAGCAGCACGGCCGCGCGGAACAGCCGGCCGCCGGCCCCGGCCCGCGCCCCCGGCCCGCCGCCCTTGGGGTCCTCGATGATGTACGCCGACCCGTCCGGCTGGTAGACGATCTCCCCCGTGAGGTTCTCCACGTCGCTGTCCTCCAGCTCGCTGGCCTCGCTCTCGTTGTCATCCCTCAGGACGGGCAGGCGGGCGTTGGGGCAGTGGTGCTCCATGTACTTCTGTAAACTGGGGAAGGAGGTGGCACACTCGTTGCAGGGGATCTCCTGGGCCGCGGCCACCTGAGGGGCCGCGGCATGCTCCCCGCCCAGGCCCAGCGAGCCGTCGCTTTTGCGCGCGTCCGTCTTCAGGGTGTCATCGGCGGGGCCGGTCCCCCTGTCGGGCTCCATCTCGGCAGCTTTCTCGGGCACCTCATTATCAAGTGGCGTCGTTCCACATAGCTTTGATGTGCTCTGCCCATTCTCCTGCCTTGAGATAGGAGAGGAGTCACAGGTTTCCATGGCAATGGCTACATAGGGATCTCATTTCATCCAGCCTGTCAGGGACCTGGATAAAAAATAAGGTGAGAGAAGCCATTTTTATTAAATAATGACACAGCTCACTAATAGCCCATCACTAATTTACAGCTGCTGTAAACCTGACTATCTAAAGAGATGAGGGGGAAAACTTAAAACCGGCGTACCTATCTATCACGGACAGACTTTGGATAAATGGAGCAAAATAATGTAGATAGCTATCACAGGCATGCCGAGATATCCTCGGTGTTTCTGAAATCGCTGTGAGCATTCATCATAAATCTCAAATTGATATCAGTCATCGTATTGTTTTTTTTCATTCCTGTTTTCTGAAAACGTACATACTACACATCAAGGCATGAGACCCCTCTTTGCCCTAACAGAAATGGGACTGGCTTCCATCTGCGAAGGCAGGAATGAAAGAACAATGCAAATAACTTGCCATGTTTAAAATTGACCTTTTACTTTGTCAGGCAGTGACTGGAAGGGGGGATCAGTGGGGAAGGGAGACCCACAATAAAGGAACTTAAAATTAGAAATATTACAGTCACAGGCAGCAGCGACCAAAGACTTCTCTGGTTTTCATTTTGCCAGTAAATCAGCTTACTACAAATCTTCCTTGTGCAAAAGCTCTCAGCAGGTATCTGGCTGGTCCTGATTAAGCACCAATCACAATTCTTCCTCACACTGCAGTCACCTCAATGGGCCACGGAACAGAAATTAATATTTACTGCAGCCAGTCCTATCATCCAGGGGGGACAATCGCATTCACTCAGTTTTTTTTTTCCCCCTGCAATATGTAATGAGCACCATTTCAAATACCATTTCGATGTTATCAATCCTGGTGAGTTGCCCATCTCTCAACCACATCTCATCTCCATCAACATCTCTTCCCTGGCTTAACAAATCATATGCAAGTACTAGTGATGAAAATCCTTCAGTCACTTAAAAAGAATTTTTTTGTAGTTTTTTTTTTCTTTTTTCTGTAGCCAGGCATCATAGACCATAAACTCCCTTTGTTGAGAACACGGTGCACTCTCTATAAAGCCATATTAGTTTCCGGCAGCAGGGTAAGGTACCAGGGGTAAGTTGAGCATGTGTTGGTAAAAAAAATGTGTTTTCCTTCTGTGTGTGTGAGTGTGTGTGTGTGTGTATATGTGCATGTGTGTGTGCATGGGTGTGAGTGTGTGCCTGCAAACCTCAGCTACTGTAATAGCAGCTTGATTACAGTGTAAGCTTCTCTGAGTCCCTGCAGATCACTCTGTTTGCAGAATGATGGCACTGTACACAACAGTTGAGTGGGCTGAAACTTTAGTGTTTATTTTCAGCCCATGACATAGACGCTGTCTCGATTTTATAAAACATGTAAGCAACCTTCTTTCAAATCTTAAAACTGGAGGAACTCGTGACTTCAAGGCAACTAGCCCCTTAATGGAAAAGTATTGACACGTTCATGTATGCGGATATTTCTGAAACAAGAAAGCCTGATGTTGCTATATTGCATTACATATTATATTGGGTAGGACAGACATGCAGTGTCTCACCCTGGATGTCTCTACATTCTAACGTCCAGACTTCACAGTGGCAGACAGCTAAGAAATCCCCACAACGCTGCCTCACCAATACGAAGCATTTCAGAAATGCCTTCTGAAAAGTTCTTAGTGAAGAAAGACCTCACTGAAGGTCACAGGCATATTAAGTATGAAGAATAACTTCTTAATACACTCTTTACTGTAATCAAATTTGATCTTGTCAGCTAAATCAGAGAGGAAGTGATCAGTGTAGAATACATCAAAAGACCTGCACAGATTGAAAATGAAATCAAAATTCGTTGTGGTATCTGCCATGGTTAAACTGACATCCTAATTGCTCACGAAGCAAACATCACAAAGCTTGGTGTGTAATTTTAATCATCGATGAGCTCCAGGTTAATTATCCTCGTGGCATGCATGCGGCTTTTAAAACCCTCTGAAATCATCTGATACCCGTAAGCATGAAAAGCTAATAATTTTCTAATTAGTCCACAAACATTAATGTTTACCTTTGCATTCACCAAATTGGCACAATGTACACATACATTGAAGGCAGCCAAAATACCTACAATACAATCCCCTGCTCCGCTGAGGGAAGTGAGGAAGGCAGGAAGGTAGAGATCTGGAGTGGAAGCAAGGTGGTCCATACTATGATAATACTAAAAGAACGATCCTAGATTAAACTATGAAGTTCCAGAACCTAGGGTAGTTTTTTGTCTTTCTTTCCTATAACTTAGGCTGTTACATGGAAGAAGCTTCTTCACTTTAACTACCAAGATGACTACAGTTCCCAAACACCACACAGTTTTGTCAAGGCGTTTCTGAGCTACTTTTATTATTACATCAATTCTGTTTTGCCTGTACCCCTAGAGCAGGTCTCGGCCCACAAAAACATTGGCTAGAATTACTGCACACATGCTGAATGCCCCTCAAATAGTTATCTGTAATGTGCAGTTAATAATTTTGTCCAGATGCCGAATGGACCCTGCATTGTATCATCTCCATATTTCTCTATATGAAGCAGAGCCTGTTTATTTTATCTTAATAAGGCAGAAGTAACTTCCAAAATATGACAACATGGTTGCTATGTGGAAAAAATTAGGAAAACTACGCTAAAGAATCCATCACAGGTCAAAGCAATTTGGTAGGATACACTTTGTGACAATGTTCCTGCATTGTTTTTACACAAAATCGCCTATCAATTTCTTCTCAATGAGGTACACATTAATCAGAAACTGAGTCAAATACAGAAGACTTCTATACAATCGCATTTACATTTCATTCCAAAAGCAACAATAACAAAACTATCTGAATTGCTGGAGTTAGTAATATATTACCTGATTTTTTAAATTCATAGCTATTGACTATTACCATGGCGATGTTTACCAGTCTGTTTTGATGGAATCACTTTAGTTTGTGTAGTTAAAAAGTTATTTAGATCAATACGTACTGTGACACTGTGAGTATATTGTACATACCGAATATGACGCTAAGTGATTTCAGTGTCATTGATGTCAGATAAGATGCTTCTTTTATCAATGTGACCCATTTAGGAAATTTACATTGAAGTTTTACAAGTCCCAGTAAAAAAGACCACAAAGACAGCCATTGAACTTAAACCACAGAATTCATTCCAAAATGACTGCATAACAAGTAAACTCGCTATAAAAGTTGCTTCGCCATTGGAGCTGGTTTCTATTTAGTCTCCAGTAATTTCTGTTCTCTCCTGCCAAACGTTCTACCTTTAAAAAGCACCAAGGCCTTCAAGAAATCCCAACAGGAAAACCTAATATAATTTTAATGGTAAATTCAGAACAATACGTACCTGCTGGCCTGCTTAGAATGTGTGTACACATTTTGGGGGGATTCTCAGTCATTCACAAGATCAGTGATTCTGATCATGGAAATCCCTTTTTTTTTTTTTTTTGGAACTCATAGACAAGATGCAGGAAAGAACTTTTATTGCTCGTGCTGTCTTGCTTTCATCCTGAAGTCACTGCTGCCTAAGCTCTGCTCTGCTAAATGACCAAACCCACCTACGAGGAGCCTGGCTGCTGAAAGGGGGGCTCTCTGAACAATAGAAGAATTCCTTTGCATTCAGAAGGCACAGTTCCCATTAGAACCCCAAATCAGAGAGGCCAGTTTTATTACCTCTGTCTTTTTTTTTTTTTAATTGAGATGGTCCCAGCCCTCCTCTCCGGTCCAGTGAGACAGTGTTTGTGAAATGATTAAAAAGAATGTGATCTGATCAAGGGGAGAGAAGAATGGGAAAGGAATGCTAGGTTAGCCACTCTGCTCAATGCTGGGAAAAAAGACCAACATGCCCCCTCAGCCTATTGTTTTTATTCTCCTCTGTTCTTTAGCCATCTCATAACACTCCGGGTCTTCATTTACTCCATTTTAAATGGGTTAAAAGTTGTCCACTTATACGAGAATTTGGTGACGGGTTACAAATCCTAAAAAAAAGGAAAATAAATAAAAATCCTTGAATTATATCAAGTTTCCAAAAGGTCATCACTGCCTGTGCTGTGGCTTTTTCCCCACTCCAAAGCCTCTATCAATATGTCATAGTGAGTTAGGCAAAGACAAAAGAGAGGCACAGTGTGAAAACGGCACATATATCTAATCCTGACAAAGCAATGAATAGACCTTCACAAGTATAATTATACTTGTTTATTTGTTGCCACGTACAGAGAACTGATGAAAAAAAATCCATCAAAGTGGTATTATGCAGACACCAAGAGCTTCTTTTCTTTGGTTGCTAAAGCCACATTGAGGCTTAAATTCCTTATTGTTAAATTCAGAAGAAAGAAAAAAAAAAGATTTTGGGCTGGACTTTTTTTTTTTTTTTGCATCAGTTGCTGACAGATCTTTTGTGTACTAGGTTGTATTAGCTCACATCGCTACCTCATTTTTACCCGTGTTGGAATTCATAATTACAAACTACTGTACAGAAGCTTTGAAAAGGGTGTGGTGTGCTGACCAAGAGAAGAAAAGTAATGAAATTGCCCTTTGCTCAGTCTCTCTTTTGATATAGCAAAACACAGGTAAAGTACCTGTGTGGCAGCACCGGCTACATCAGAATTCATCTTTGATCTCAGCCTTTTAAGTCGGTGCTGGTGGTTTTCTACAGTCAGCTGTCTCTGCAATTTGCTTATTTTAGTGTACAGTTCGGTATTTCATAAACGATTGCGTAACTTCTTTCCCACTGCAGGATTAAAAACGTTAGAAAGGCATATATACAGGGATGTGAGAGGGCTGGAAATATGAAAAAAAAGATTTCAAGTCCAACTATTAAGGACCCATTATGTTCCAATAGACACTAAATCAACTTAACAAAAGCACATTTTTAGGAGGGGGGAGGGGGAGAGGGCAGCCAAATAAGCTTTTTTTTTTTTTTCCTTCTTGCAGGATAGAAATATATCAAAGCCAATGCAATCTGCATAGTTAATGTTTGTGAGCTTTACAATTTAAAACAGAAAAGCTGTAATTTTTCTTT